ATATATATATAGCATGCATATATATAGCATATATATATATATATATATATATATATATATATATATATATATATATATAGCATGCATATATATATGCATGCTATTATGTACATATGTACATACATATATACGTATAATCCTCCTTGTTAACTGCAAGTCCAAGGCGGTTTTATCCTGCCATCTAGGATCCCTCCTTATCCAGTGATCAAAACAACAGTACACAGAGGCTTCAGCATCGCCATCAGTCCAAAATGACTGTACTGAGTCCATCATCTGTAATTACGATTACGGTTATAACCCTATCACAGCGTGTCAGCATCTCGCGCCAGTTAGCAATGCCGGGAGAGTCTACCCATGGATCGATCTCAGGATCTTGACCTTATACAGCTTCACACCGGCACCACACGTATGTGGGGCATGGAGCGGCCCAATGTGTTTGAAGGTGGGGTTGCACCCACCGCCTAAACACGTCCTGGATAGGTTACAAAGCAAGGCTTTTTTCCAGCAAACCCAAGGGAGGCCAAGGTAAACAGTACTCCACTAAACCACGTAATCCCCTCCTGCGTTGCACTGCGCCCCAGAAAAAACCATCCCACTCCCTACCCCGTGGTTTGTACACACATGTACACAGATCCACCGCCCACTGCAGTGCTGGAGGCTATAGCAGAGCTGTCGGCAGCAGAAGCATCTCCACGGCCTCCTGCACCATCGCCGCCCCCGACACCGCCTCCCTGGACCCATAGTTGCCGTATCACCCTCACCGACGAGGAGGCTGCCGTACATTGCGTGGCAAACCCCGACCTCCCCAACCTGCCACCCACCCTGACAGCGTGGACGGGTCGGGAGCTGCTCCTCTCGCTTATGCGCCCTGCATCTCCACCGCCGAGCAGCACTGACAGCCATGTTGGCAGTGGCACCTCTGACACCGCCAATCACGCTGCGTTCTCGGGTGTGGATCTGCGGCTTCGTGTACCACCTGAGGAGGCCCTTCGTGCCGCGGAAAAGGAGCTGCAACAGAGCTCAACCTGGACCGCCAAACCCTTTCCTGACATGGGCATCACATTCCGGGGCGTGCCGCACTTGCGCATCGTGGACAGTGTCATCCGGAGCCAACGGGGCCGCGTACACATGCAGCCGCTTGCACCGCTGCTGCAGTGCGAGGGTTGCCCGTACCTCACCGTGGAAAACGTCACTGTCAAAGGCATAGAAGGACCGGAAGTCTACATTTTTGAAGACTCGCCATGGGTTAATGATCCAGACTTCCCAACCTTTGGCCCGATACACGCGTCCGGCCTCATTGGAGTCGAAGTATCGGACTTCAGCTGCACAGACATCGCGTTCAGCCAAGGCTGGAGTTGCCTTCACCTGCAGTACAATGATCTTGCTGTCGACGAAGGTGACGACGGTGATGGTGTGGATGCTGTAGCACCAGGGCTGCAACAGCTGTACGACACAGCAGCGGGCGAGGGTTTCCTCAACATCCACGACAGCGCCTTCATCAGCACGGAGACTTCCTGGGGTGGTGCGTACGGCGCAAGTGCACTGTACTCGGAAAAGCTGTACGGAGATTACGACTTCAACACGGGTGTGGCCCCGACACCGGTTCATCGTTATGGCGGCTACGGCTCAGTATTGGTTTCACGGCTGGCGGCCGGTGCCGCGGCAAGGGCAGATGCATACAAGGCACCGCTGGTGCGCGAGGCGACGGGTTCACTGCAAATCCGTGTGTACGACAGCCTATTCAAGGACAACTACGGAAACTTTGGCGGCGTGCTGGCAGTGCTGGGCTCCAGCCGGGTGAGTTGTCGGGTTAGGGCCCTGGAAGTAGTCCCAGTGCCCCGCAGGGGCTTCTCAAGGTGCGATTCGTGATGTTCAGGAGTGGTATCGGTTTAAGATATTTAAGGTGAACATTTTGGCCGGTGGGTGCACCATCACGGTAAACCACGCATGACGGCGGGCAATCCGGAGCATATCCCCAATAGTGGGCAGTGGGCACCACACAGAACAAACGAAGGACGACACTTGTTGCTGCTCATCCGGATTTATGGGCCAAAACAAATTCGTACATGTTTGTGGGAGCGCACGCCTCTGGCTTCCCACCCTTTTCATCGGTTTCCTTGAACCTTCCGCATATTTGTTACAACCATTCTCGTTGCGGCTGTGGACACACACACACACACAACAGGACTATGTCGAGTTTTCACGTTGCCAAATCAGCGGCTCCATTGCCCGGGACGGTGCCGTACTGTACGTCAACGGCTCGCTGTCGGGACTGGCACTACGTAACATGCAAATCGTCCAAAGCATCGCCAACGACCGGGGTGGTGTTGCGTTCGTGAGTGGCTCAGTTGACCGGTTTATCGTGACTGCCAGCAACGCCTTTAACAATACGGCGTCGGCGGGCGGCATGCTGTATGCGCCGTACATTGACAAGGTGAGCATCAGCGACAGTGTGGTGACGGAAAATGTGGCGACACTATACGGCGGCGTTATCGCTGCAGAAGGCCTGGGCGACGTCTCTGTGGCGCGCTCGGTTATTAGTGGCAACCGTGCCCTTAACGGCAGTGGTGCGGTGTTGTACGCTACTAACGGCTTCGACTCCATGAACCTCGGGAACGACACCGCCATCAGCGGCAACACCGCACGTGATGCTGGCGGTGTTTAGTCAGGTACCGCTTCTCCGTATCTCATTGGGTGTTGGCAGTGCCATCACCAATAACAGCGCGGGGCTCACGGCCGCTGGCGGTGCCGGCGTTGTTGGGGCTGGGCACCGGGGCTCATTCTTGGGCACCGGGGTTTTGGACATCACGATGACGGGTGACGCAGTGCACGTGTGGACCAACGGTGGAAGATTTTGAAAAATTGACCTGCAGGTTGCACCAAACGAACCGGGTTGCAGCAGACTGGTGGAGACATAATTTTTCGCTTCAGCTGTGTGAGGTACCTGTGTGTGAGGGGAAGATATCGAGCAGGGTCGACCTCCCTAGCTAGGGTGAGGTTGTTTCCTATGCTTTTCAGTTGTGTTTAATGAATGGCTCAGCGAATCTGACATGATTCCTAGCCGTTTAATAGAACGTGCATGGTAACGTTTTTGTACAAAGAAGGGCGATTACACGAGTTAGCAGCTGCTAGGGAAGAGCGCGGTCGGGGATAATCATGCAGCTCGGGAACCAGTCTGGTTTACGAAACGCCGTTTGCTGGAGACCTAGTTGAGCTCGACGGGATATTGGAGACTATCGATGGTTATGGTCACTGGAAGACTTGCGCCTTGGTTGTCAGAGCGCGCGGTAGGTGGACATGGGTGTTACATACACGCATATCGACCCATTCATGCACCAAGTAATAAAAACGTTTTCAGCAGGCCAGCCTTTCGGCTGCATGAGGCTGTAACGTCTTAACAGGGGTATAAGTAAACGTCCCGGACCCCTACGTACGACACCGGACCCCCAAAAGCTGATCGCTCTCTTTGAATGCAGCATTTCATGCTGCCGGGAAGCTTTCTCCTCGCATGCGTGGTTCTTTCATACACAGGCAGGTGACCTGAGGTGGTGCTGGTCGTCTCGCTTGTCCGCTGCATCGATTCTAGCATGTACCTACTTTTGAGAGTTTTGAGCTTCCTGTACCAGTAGCCCGCAGGCATGCGTGTATCCTCGCAACATATCGCGCGTGGATTGAGTTCCTACATAAGTGCCACACACAGATGCTTGTCGTTTGGAAATATGTAGGTATCGATGTCGAGGCTGTCGACCAAGCCATGGTAATGAGCAGATGCTTGTATCCGCGACACGCTTACGGGACAGGACACCCTTTGCCATAGTAAATTTATTCCTATTAAATGAGCTTTTGTAACTTTACTGGCATTTCAAGCGTTGGGTTTAGGCAATAGAACTTAAGATGCTATGGGTGTATTTCCAGTGCGGATTAAGGCCAGGGATTAGGGCACGGAAGTCCTTGGTACGAGCTTACCACATAGTTTCGTTCCATAAGGCAACCAAAGGTTGAAAATGCGAGGTAAGTTTGCCAACAACTTAGCCGTTTGAGCAAGTATCGATGGAGGACAGAGGGTTAATCCGGGACGTTAATCCGCACTGGAAATGCACGCTATGGCAAGCAAGGGCTGGGACCCAGTTAAACCCCAAAGCCGAGGCTCTATAATCATAGAGCATTTAAGTCATTGAGGATTGCGATGAAGCCCCAAGGTTAAACGGGGTAAGCAAGGTAAGGCAGTTTTCCCCAGCATCCATATCCGTCGGCTCCTCCGAGTTTACAGTTTTGTCAGCGCGTGATGCCATTATAATACTAAATCGGGTAGAAGCTGCATTTGAACATGTCTCGGCGGTGGCACAAGGAGATGTTGGTGCTGGCGATTCTTGGGCCGAAAACTACATCCTCAAACAGACCATCCTAGTTGAAGTTTTTCAGCAAATATTGACTTATTAGAATCATAGGAATTATGACAAAGAAGGACAGGCCACCGGTGGCTGGCTGGCTGGATGCATGGTCAGCGGCGGACGCGATGGCTGGGTACATCTAAAAAGTCAGCTTGCAGCTTTAGGCTAGGATTTTTCAGAAATGTCCGGGAGCAGCTTAGGGCGGTGAAAAAGCGGACTGCCGCAATAAATTATTACCTTGCATGCCTAACATGCGTGCGTGCGTGCGTGGTGTTCGCCTCCGTCGCAAGCAAGCAAGGACTTATAATGCATACTGATAGACATAGCAAAATACATTGATACAAGGTAAAACCAAATATCCTCTACATTTCCGCATGACGCTTAAAACCAGAGCTAGCGGAGCTCTGCTTAAAACCCAAGACTGTCTGCGAGGGTCTGACCGCCGTTGCCGTACAGCAGGACACCAATTACAACATTAACGGCGACAGGGATATATCACATACCATTATATTCCATTTTCAACAGCATAGCGCCTTAGGTGGAGTACTTGGCGCGTGAGCTTGCGCGCAGTAATAGAAGAGCATCCTCTGCATCGCGCTGTCTCAACCGCCCATTCTTTAGCCATGCCGTCATCCACATCAGTTCCTATATCAAATACAGGATCAATTGTGCGTTTAACTTCACTCACTCTCGTCCTTTTCACGCTTGGCAGCCTCCAGCAGCAGCATGCTGCTGTTGCTCTTCCGGCGGTCACCCTAAACCGCAAGCTCACAGCGTCGTCGTTAGAAAAGCCTGCTTTTAATCTTAATGTTTATCAACAAGCCGAAGCGTATCTGGATGGCTTGTTCGCTGACTACGGGGCGGCAAAGGCGACGCTTGGCGCCGAAAACTTCAAGGAGAGCAACGTTCTTGTCGTTTACATGTGCTACAAGCGTGCCAACCTAATTCGGTCTACTCTGACTTCGTTGCTGATGAGCCAGGGCCTGGAGGAATACGACCTGATGATTTCGCAGGATGGCCTTGGGGGCCCTGGGACTCCGTATGTCCTCGATGTCGAGGTCCAGGAGACGGTCAACGCCTTATACGTCCATCATGAAGTCAATCTCTGCACAGGCCTTCACCACTACTTTGTTAAGAGATTTGCGTTTGACATCATGGGTTACGAATATCTGCTTGTCGTTGAGGAGGACAACGCGCTGCACTACCAGGCGCTGCAGGTGTGCATGAAAGACTTGTTTTAACAGATTTGTTCAAGATTTGCAAGAAATCTTTTTGCATGAGGGATACATATGGGGCCATAGTTTAAGAACGTTTATGCGCCCTGGTTTTGCGGCCAAAAAGTCTTTAAGGATGGAGTTCGTTCCATTTAACTTTTGCCTGTTTTTATATAAGCCGAACAGCAGATGATAAGTAGCGAGGTAGTGCGAGGTCCACTGCCACGCACATATAGGCTCTCGGGTTTAGCACCACCTAATATTACACCGGCAGCCATTTACCGTTGACGCCGCTATGCCATTCTTTCTTCCCTCAAGGAAGAAGTTCGTTTCAGCTGCAGAACGAATTCGATCGGTAAAGTCCTCAAGGTTTTATTGTTACCTCTTTCATACCCCCTGTGTCAAGCCCTCCTGTCTACACAACTGTGTCAAATCTCCTGTGGTCATGCTTCAGAAGCGCCTGCGCTACCTTGCACATCTGATTTGCACGCAGTTCCTGAAAAGCGTGTTGGATTTGTCGCTGGAGGAGAAGGAAATCGGGCTTGTCAGCCTCACCGAATTGGATAACTCACTGCTCGTGGACGAGTCCCGATACAACAGTGCCGTCCTGCGAGCTGCTGTTGAGGATGGTCACCTTTGGGTGTTTGGGGTCCACAAATCGCGGTACGACGCCGTCAGCAAGCACCTGTACGACTACTACAAGGTCATCAAAGGGCACGACTACTCTCTTGCGCATGCTCCACCACTGCACGACACGATTCGTGCCCTGCATAAGGAAAAGGGTTTCCCGGAGGGCATTCCCCTGTCTCAAGACGCGTTCTTCGTGCACAGCCTTCTGAAGGAGGGTTACAGCAGGCGCTACCTTTCACTCGTGCGCCTGACACAGCCCATGGGCTGGATGGGTCTGCACTTTAAGCAGGACCCAGCCCAATTTTATATGAAGTATGGTCAAGGCATGTATGAAGGTACCATTGCGGCTAAGGCGTTTGAGGTTGCCAAAAATCCGGAGGAGCTCGAAGAGCTAAAGAAGGACGCAGCCGCGCGCCTGGACGTAATCTACCAGCAATATCTTGGCCGTGCAGTTGAGCTTCCGACGTCTGACAGCGTTGTGCTACGCCTTGTGGTTGGCAGGATGAATGGAGTGGAACTGGTGCGCGACATTTTGAACTCTGCAGAACATCGTCGCCAGATGAAGGTGATGGTGGGGACTCGGGGAGCCCCAAAACGGTGAAATGCCCAGCCGCAGCAGTGCACTAGGGTATAATATGTGTTTGTGCGTGTGTTACGTGGTTGGGTGTGTGACCACATTTGTGGGTCTATTAGTAGTGCATGCGTAGAACGAAGGGTTGTATGTACGACAGACGCTGGAGGATTATGCTATGCTTGTCTTGCGACGCTCTTGAAGGTAGGACACGCAGCAGCAGCAGCAGCAGGATTTTGTCAATGCTCGGCTAGGCATGGAACCGCCATCCAGGCAGTGTTGTCCTGTGCCGCCCTTGCTAGGTATGGAAGGAGCGAGGCAAAGCAGTGAATAAAGTGCGGGGACTCAAAACAATAGATAAACTCTCATTCTGATGAGGCATGCATGGATCATCTCCCTTCCCTGCATTTGTTGTGTTCCCAACTCTAAGAAAGTGGCCGCTGTACGAATAAGTAAGTCGGTACACTATAGTGACGCAGGAATGAAAGCAGCAGGATTGGAATATTCGCTGCTTGTGTCTCTGTTTGACTGTGTTTGGCTATGTTATTAATGTTTATCTGCGCTGTTGGATTTTTTCATGTGCCGTAGTACGTCGAAAGAAGCAGCGAAGGGTTGTGTGTGGACGTGCGCGTGTATACTATGCGTAGTATGCGGATGAAGTGTAACGTGTGGGACAGGGGGTTCGTATCTTCAGCCTGCGGCCGCTACCCGGCAGACCCTGCCTTCCCCGATATGTCGGGCCACCCTCATTCAGTCACCCTAGCCAACTTTTCAGAGAATCTCTGGTTTAGCACATTTACCTTCCACCATGGGAAGGATTTTCGACCTTGACAGGTCTCCATCCGGGAACTTCCGGGGCATCAGTGTGTGCTTCACCAGTAGTGCCTGACCTATGTGCGTATGATGTTACAGGGTGGTATAGCTTCACCAGCGGCCCCCTTTCCCGAGGCAGTTCCCCGCTCTCCCCTGCGAGAGGGGCACCCTAATCCATTCCCCTATCCGACTTCAGAATGTATTCGTTGGGTTCAGCAACTCACCACCAGCATCCAACCAAATCTAGCGGATCAACGGCGCCACAGCTTAGTTCCTGGTCAGCTCGCAAATTGCTATAATCACGTCCTACACCGTCCACAAGATGGGGGGCCACCTCCCATTTCAACACCCCTATGCGTGTCAACATGTATGCTCGTTTTTTCAATATTTACATGCACGCAGGGAACGGAGGTGAACTGTATCGTCCCAGTGCTGCACGTTTTGTTAGAGCACATCAGGGCAACTGCACCAGCTGGTGACTTTCCACAGCAGTTTACCAAAACGGTGGTATCCCCAATTTTTTAAGAAGGGTGACCCGCTGGTGGCAGGAAGTTATCGGGGCATTGCAGTTGGAGGAGCACTTTCACCCGTAAATTCATGTTTACCCGTAATCACGTGGTCTTCACATGTAATTACCGGCCAAGAAAATTTGTAAACATGCTTATTTTTAAGTTGCCAAAGCATTCCTTTTATAAGGAAGAACATAGGTGACATTTTGTTGGTTGCCCGTGCTGGAAGTCATCCACAGGTTACATTACCCGTGGTACTTGCCCCTTCATGCTCTGTTTGCCTCCAAAGCCCAGCAACATAAACGAAACTGCATTACCTTACTATATGCTAAACGAGGAATGAAAACCTTAGCATGTGTTGGCCACATGACGGCTGCGGCTCCCGAAAAGGGCAGCCCCATCCAGTGCTTATACTTCGCCATTTGCACTCCCGGTTGCTTCCCATCTGATGGGTAGTCTACTCAACCACCAGTCAACACGCTCCTTTACCCCCACGACTTCTTGCGGTATTCCACTCCAAATGTTGCACTCCAAGAAGGAAAACAGTTGTAACATTGAGATTCCCCAACCCTCCCATTCTGGGTTGGTCAGGGCATCGGTTATCTCCTGCCGTAAAACGGCATGAGCAATGGATCCCACTTGCTTTTGAAGGCGGTTCCAGAAACGGAGGATCTGCTTCACCATGTAATATTGTAAGGGGAGTTCAGCCAGCTCCGTGTACAACAGCCTGTGGGATGGCCGTGCCGTCCCCACTACCTGCCTCATGAATAAAATCTGCAGCTGGACTGCGCTATCCTTCAAACAGGCTTCGAACATGCCCTCCGCCTACCATGGCGGGAGGGCCTGCAAGTCTAGAAATAGTCAAAATACAGATTTAATAAACTGAAAATACTAGTAGTACTACGGGCAGGACTAGTCACCAACCCGCGGTGGCCGCGGCGGCAATCACTGCGTCGCCGAAGTCCGTAACGAAAGTAGCTAGCGAACCTGGGTCTTCAAACGCAGGAGAAATTGCCATTGCCGACGTGGGGTCCATTCCAGTGCACGTTAGAGTAAGCGAGCGGATGCAGGGACGAGACTGGTCCGTGAGGAACCTGTCTCGATACCAGACTTGTAATATACTTAAGATGACACAACCATAGATGGTGGTATCGAAAGATACCGGTTGAGACAAGTGGAAAGAATAAAAAGTCATCAGTGACTCCACTTGGGCCCCGCGCCGATAAGTTCCCAGTACGACTGGGCGGTGCGATGTTCAGTTGACCACAGGAACTATTCTCGCCCGGTGAAGCAGGCGAACCAGGAACGCAGGTTCCAGCTTTACGCAGGTAAAGCCCCCGCCCATACGCCGGTATTAACTTCCGCAGCAGTGCGGCATTTGGACGGCGAACTCGACTAGCAGTAGTCGCAAGACGCCAATAAACTATTATCAGTATTAGTTTAACCTGTTATCAACGGCAGCGGGTGCAAACAGGTATTAGTTAATAACAGCAGTGTTCGAACTGAACGGACCGGCATCTGACCGTTAGGCAACCGAGCCTAGAGCTTAACAGTAAGCATACAGGATACAACAAATTTATTCATGAGGCAGGTAGTGGGGACGGCACGGCCATCCCACAGGCTGTTGTATGCGGAGCTGGCTGAACTCCCCTTACAATATTACATGGTGAAGCAGATCCTCCGTTTCTGGAACCACCTTCAAAGGCAACTGGGATCCATTGCTCATGCAGTTTTACGGCAGGAGATAACCGATGCCCTGACCAACCCGGAATGGGAGGGTTGGGGAATCTCAATGTTACGACTGTTTTCCTTCTTGGAGTGCAACATTTTGAGCGGAATACCGCAAGAAGTCGTGGGGGTAAAGGAGCGTGTTGACTGGTTGTTGAGTAGACCTCTACCCGAAGGAGCGATGATAACGGCACTAAGAGAGCGTTTGATGAGCGGCTGGGACCATACGCGTCTGACTGTCTTGCCAGAGGAGTACCCATCAGATGGGAAGCAACCGGGAGTGCAAATGGCGAAGTATAAGCACTGGATGCCCTTTTCGGGAGCCGCAGCCGTCATGTGGCCAACACATGCTAAGGTTTTCATTTCTCGTATAGCACATCGTAAGCTAATGCAGTTTCGTTTATGTTGCTGGGCTTTGGAGGCAAACAGAGCACGAAGGGCCAAGTACCATGTCCCCAGGGGGCAGCGGTTTTGCCACTGTTGTGGTACTAATAGCCGAATCGAGGATGAAAACACGTGTTATTGGAATGCCCAGCCTATAATGATATTCGTGCTGAAGAGGGATCCGATCATCAACAGAGCATGTTGGAGGCCATGAAATGGGAACCCGCACGTCTTGCGAGGATGTTGGAACGTATGTGGGCTCACCGAAACTCAATTACCCCAATGGACGCTAGTCTGGGCTGATGTGCGGTGTTTTCCTTTCCTCCGTGGCTTTAGGCGTTGTACTATTGCCCCTGGGCCTTCGGCTCGTATGGGTAGTCTTACAGGTATGGGGTCACGCACCCCCAACCATGTAACACACACACACACACACACACACACACACACACACACACACACACACACACACACACACACACACACACACACACACACACACACACACACACACACACACATAAAGCATGTAAGTCGGCCGGTTGTCATTAGCGTAGCGATGAAGTACTCATGGGCTCCGAATCTGGGCATCTAAGGCATGTAGGTCCTCAAGGGAGGCGCCGGCGGCCCGGGCAGCCTGGACGGTGCCATGGCGAAACCCATGGGGTGTTTGCCCGACGTAGATGCCAGCCTCCTCCAGGTGCTTGACTGCCCGCATGGCCAGAGCGGCAGGCTCGACCGATTATCAGGCCACATATGTACGCTTGCTTTTGGCTGCTGCTCCCTTTGGCCATGTGCGTTGATTGTCTATCCTGCTTGTTATGCTGCGTGTTATGTACGCGTGCGTAATATACACGTATCGCAGCAATAAACGGGCGACGGAGTCGCTGTATGGATGTGCGCATTAAAGAGAGATAGCTATTGCGGTGCCGACCGACAGAAATTTCACCAGCCATCCTCGTCCTTATTGCACCATGATATACCCGAAGCATATACATGCATCCTGCAATGTGCATACGTACCACATACGTACGACATATGCACGACATGCATGCCCACCCCACCACATGCCGACAGTCATGCATCCATCCATCTGCTCGTGCGGGTTGTGACGCACGGCAGAAATGAGTCATAATAAGCAACGCAAGCTTAAACCATTCAACAGCAGCACCCGCACGCACGCCAACCAGCTGGTATATAGACATCCTATTATTGCCCCGGCTCCGCAAGCAAGCGAGAATGATAAGTGGGGGCTATCACCGGCAGCTATCTTTAACTACTGTCCCTGATGAAGGACCACTAACGTCGTTTTATACAATAATCCTAAACGCGCCATGATTGCACGGCGGCAACCCTAGCTACGTAAACCCGGACCCAGCCATGCACAATAATCTACTGCTGCTGCTGGCTGGCTGGGTTGGCTAGCTGAATGATGAATAACATTTGGTAGAGTAGCTACTCCAACAACATCAGAACGTTAGAAAGCATGAACCATCTGAAAACGCACGCAGCCCTGCGGGGACTCAAGCATGCATGGCGACTACATACTTGCTTTCACACATGCCATAGTTGCAATGCAGGCAGGGATACGACGATAAATCCGTTACCCTGCCGGCCTCGCCTAATATAACCACATACACCGATTTCCTGTGGACGTGCAAAGAGGAATAAAGTATGTGATAATAATGCACACGTATATCTGCATGATACGCCGCTGCACACGCAAGCATGTGAGTTGCACGGCTGCGGCAACTTGAACGTCTTGTGGTGCTATAAAAAAACACGTGTTATAATTCGCGAATCTTTCCCTGGGTTGTGTCTTGGCAGTGCCGGGAGGGCCCGACCTCATACGTGCAAACATACCAGCACGCACGCGCGTGTTTGCACATCACACAGTGGTATGCTATGGATTACACTGTCTCTATGTTCAATGCAATAGCACACGCAGTTGCACAGAGACATTTGAAATGCAAAGTAGATAAACGTCAATCGTAATAAGTTCCACCTTGCCTGGTTGGGCGTGCAGCGGATGATGACGCCAAGCACAGAAGGATACCGCCGCATGCGCATTCGTGTGCTCACGCTCTTACTTGGTGAACGCGCGCGCGCTCACCGTCAATAAACAAACTGCGGCTTGTTATGTAGCACGCAGGATGCGCTACAGGGGTGTGTAATCAGATTTTCACCCTATCTAACTTGCATGACCAGCAGAGCATGCAGATGTCACGCGCCACGCGCCGCGCCGTGTGACATCTGCCACGTGCTCCCTCGCAAGGCCAACCTGCCCACGTCTCTGTACGTACATGGCATTTAAACTCAGCAGGTAGGTAGAAATTGCTGAGTAGGTAGGGCCGCGTCCGCCCCCACTTTTGCGCAAGAAGAAATAATGAATATACGCATAAAGCAAGTAAACGTTGCCTAGGTATTGTCTATTTTTCACGGATGCTACATCATGGGCAGGTACTACCCTGCCTTACTACCCTGCTGCTGCAGGGTAGACACACAGCAGCCCTGCATGAGCTTTGACAATCTCTCCGCCAACGCACGCGGTGGCAAGCGGAGGCAGCTCTAGCTTGGATTAGGTTATACAGGCGAGGGGGCGCCGCCCATGCATGCATCCATCCATCCGTTGGTCGTCATACAATGACATGCCATGTCATTTACCAACCCATCGCCCATCCGAACATTGCATCTTCATGTTCGTTGTGCCTAGCTGGACGCTCAACGGCTTCATTAATTGGACCGACCGCGTTGTGTTTCAGCGGCTGCATCTATCTCCCCTGCTGCACAAGCACACGCGTCAGAAAGAAATTACGTTCCTGTAGCCGTCACACGCCAACCCTCTGCGTTCCCTACCCTCCAGCCCTAACAGCCGCCACTGGCGGTCCTCTAGAAGCAGATAGAAAATATTTAATCACACAGTAATCCCTGCCGAGTGCCAAAAAACACATTGACTCTTAATGTGTCAATGTGGTACAATGCATTGCTCGTATTTAAGGTGCACTTCAATATCAAGGGCATTGCGAGGCCAAATCACAATACAACCAGCTATAGCTACCCCTGGTGTGTTAGCCAATGGCGGGGCTGGGCGCTTCTGGTTGCTGTCCGGTTTCGTGCGTGGCTGTTGGGACACGCACCTGTCGTTTCGGCCTCCTCCCTCGGGTCCCCACCATCACCTTCATCCGGCGACGATGTTCTGCAGAGTTCAAAATGTCGCGCACCAGTTCCACTCCATTCATCCTGCCAACCACAAGGCGTAGCACAACGCTGTCAGACGTCGGAAGCTCAACTGCACGGCCAAGATATTGCTGGTAGATTACGTCCAGGCGCGCGGCTGCGTCCTTCTTTAGCTCTTCGAGCTCCTCCGGATTTTTGGCAACCTCAAACGCCTTAGCCGCAATGGTACCTTCATACATGCCTTGACCATACTTCATATAAAATTGGGCTGGGTCCTGCTTGAGATGCAGACCCATCCAGCCCATGGGCTGTGTCAGGCGCACGAGTGAAAGGTAGCGCCTGCTGTAACCCTCCATCAGAAGGCTGTGCACGAAGAACGCGTCTTGAGACAGGGGAATGCCCTCCGGGAAACCCTTTTCCTTATGCAGGGCGCGAATCGCGTCGTGCAGTGGTGGAGCATGCGCAAGAGAGTAGTCGTGCCCTTTGATGACCTTGTAGTAGTCGTACAGGTGCTTGCTAACTGCATCGTACCGCGACTTGTGGACCCCAAACACCCAAAGGTGACCATCCTGAACAGCAGCACGCAGGACGGCACTGTTGTATCGGGACTCGTCCACGAGCAGTGAGTTATCCAATTCGGTGAGGCTGACAAGCCCGATTTCCTTCTCCTCCAGCGACAAATCCAACATGCTTTTCAGGAACTGCGTGCAAATCAGATGTGCAAGGTAGCGCAGGCGCTTCTGAAGCATGACCACAGGAGATTTGACACAGGAACCCTTGTAGACAGGAGATAACTAAGAAATGCATTACGTGATATGGCGGCGACAGGAGGCACCGTCTGTAAATTTTTGATCATTTAAAAATCGCACCCTTGTACGTTAGTTAGGGACCGTCGCTTTCTATTGTACCAGGGTGCGATCGAATGTTTTTTACAGCAGACGACAAAGGCCAGAGGAAACCCACAACCCACTACCGCGCCGTATCAGCAAGTGTCTTAGTTTAATCTAAACGTTATAATGTTATCAATCCATCATGCCCTGCAAAAATGTTTCCTTAAGTGCAGGAAAGCAAGTGGATCAGATAGGCCCCGGGCGCCCGTTGAAGATAGAAGCGAAGTTACTATAATGAGACAAAATACACTTATAAATCATTAAGAACATAAAATAAAGTAGTTATGCACACCTGCAGCGCCTGGTAGTGCAGCGCGTTGTCCTCCTCAACAACAAGCAGATATTCGTAACCCATGATGTCAAACGCAAATCTCTTAACAAAGTAGTGGTGAAGGCCTGTGCAGAGATTGACTTCATGATGGACGTATAAGGCGTTAAGCGTCTCCTGGACCTCGACATCGAGGACATACGGAGTCCCAGGGCCCCCAAGGCCATCCTGCGAAATCATCAGGTCGTATTCCTCCAGGCCCTGGCTCATCAGCAACGAAGTCAGAGTAGACCGAATTAGGTTGGCACGGTCATAGCACACATAAACGACAAGAACGTTGCTCTTCTTGAAGTTTTCGGCGCCAAGCGTCGCCTTTGCCGTCCCGTAGTCAGCGAACAAGCCGTCCAGGTACGCTTCGGCTTTGCGATAAACGTTCGAATTGGGACCAATCCCCACCGGCACCGCCGTCGTAAGCTTTCGGCTTAGCCGGCTGACTGCCCGGACCCCAGCAGACTGCTGGCTGGCAACAAGTAATAACACGAGCGCAGCTAAACGAATTCCTGGCCCATGTTTGTGAGTACATGTTTGCGAAGTTGACGTGCGAGTTTCTGAATCCTCCATTGTTGGGGCCAGCAGGGCGGGTGCGGGAACTGCTATGCACATACGGTTAAAAGTCTGCACGCACGCACTTCACGCACACGCGCGCGCCTTCAGGCGAAGATGCGTTGTGGAGATATGAAAGCCGTTCCTGCTTGCTTTTTGTATTGCTGTCACTGCAGGTGTTGGCGTTGCTAACTCGCTGTACATACAGTTTCGAGCTAGGGGTTGCACTGGGCTCGGTTTTGTGCTTGCCAAGGCATGGGCATAAGTACACACTGGTTGTTAAATGCAACAAACAAGAGTATATGTTTACTATATCTACTGCTGTTTCACGACATATACTTTGTAAAATGCGAACTTGTCCATGATAATTCGTAATTTTTTGCTCGCGTATAGAAAGCGTACGCATGTACTACTTCAAGCAATCGTTGCGGTGTACCTTGCAAACCATGATTTTCTATACTCCGTATTGCGCAAGATTGTGAAATGGCTTTTCCTATCTCTACTCGCTGGACTGACATCGCGCTCTGACCTTTCCATATTCTCTCAGAACTGAAGCGCCATTCCCTTCCTTTGCATATTTCCAACAAGTAATTGCAAGCCAAAATTATGTTATAAAAACACAATCAACAACAGAAAACATGCCAAGCCCGTCTATCTCGCGCTAAACTCTATCTCCGAACCGTCACCTTCGTTACGCTGGCTAGTTTCGTCGCCGTCTGTCAACGAGCAATGGCTTATTTTTATCAGAACGTGGCCTTAATTACATTCGAGATTATAAGGGCAGTTTCAGTAACAAGGCAATGATGACTGCCGCTTGCATTTTATTTTGAGGAGCGACTTACTTGCGGTTTATGTGCATGGATGTCCGTAGAAAAGGCCCGCGCGACAAAAAAATCGCAAGTTGACTGAGCACGATTTGTTACACGTAGTTAGGCGGATAACTTACTCAGCTCTCAGCAGGAGCTTTATGGATACATAAGCGGACAAGTCGTCCACATCGTACGGCTTGTCCTAAAACTAGTTCAAAAGAGGGCTAACTGGACTTGAACTGAAACTGACACTATTCCACAACACTCCCATGCAGGCATACCTCCTAGAACGGCATATTGCAACCCATCAGCGCACACGCATAGCGCTACAGCACTTCTTGGACTGCGGGAGTGGCAGCGTCTTCCATGTGGCTTCCATCCGCTATCACGTCCGCGGACTTGCAATACGAAAACTCAATCTCTTCGAGTGCCATACGCTCACGAACAAAGTGATGCAGCACGTCAATATGCTTCGAATGAACCGACGAGATCGGGCTGTTGATGATCTTGATCACCGCTTGATTATCGCCCTAATAGGCACAGACGACAAACCCAACTGCAAGTCACGCGACAAATAACGAAATCAAAGTGCATCCTTTGTCGCCGCTCCACTTGCCATGTACTCAGCTTCAACCGTTGACGTAACAACTGTCGGTTGTAAACGACTGTACCAGCTCACAGCACCACCAGCATCCAAAAACACATAGCCGGTGGTAGACCGCCTTGTATCCACGCAGCTCGCATAGTCCGAATCACAATATCCATGAAGGCCTTCTGCACCAGACTTTCCGGAATACACAATGCCTATTCTGCGGGCTGAGTGGCCCAACTTCCTGCAGATTCTGCAGTACTTCTTGGGCTTGGGGGCCAGTGTTTTTTTTTAAGTAATATATTACTTTTAAGGAATAAAGAAGCCTTTTTGCCCTTTGGAAATAAGGAACAAAGTGAGGCCGATCCGTACATTTTCATTCCTTCAGCCAAAAACGTCCATTGCTGCCAGATTGCTCCGTAGTGTGCAGAACTTAGTATTATCGATCATAAAATAGATATGAGGGGCCGTAAGAAGGTCAAGCCCGTGAGTCAACGCGGCATAGCAGAATGTATGACCGGTCCTTCCATAGACAAACACGCAAAAGGCAACGACTTGAACGCCGAACAAACACAAAAACAGCAAGATAAGTCTAAATTTTTTCCTGATAAAGGCGTTTGGGACGGCGGTGCTGTTGTCGGTAATGCATCGGCAATGTTGCTGCCAGCGGCGACCGATGACACGGGCGCCATTACCCC